CAGACAGAGCTTGGCACAGAGCAGGGTGATGAGGCGCACAGCATCCACCCCCTGCCCCAATGACCCAGCGCCCTGTAAGGCCCAGGGAGGAGGCGCCTGGGTCCGGGTATTCCCAAGATACAAGCGGCGGGATTCCTGAGGAACAGAATGTTCTGGATGACAGAGGGGCCATGGTGGGGGTGGGCAGGCGGGGGCGCTTCACATGGAAGGGAAAACACACAAAGGCACCCAGACCAGTAAGTTAAGGGAAGTCCAGAGGAAAAGATTTAAGCCGGGATGATTAACTTTGGTGTACAATCCCTAAAATGTAGCACCTGTATCCTTTCAAGAAACGGGCTAGAAGCATCCCGCGTAGACACAAGGCTGCCGCACTGCCACTGACAACGGGGATGGAGCCGCCACAGGCTTCTTCCCACTGAAGAAGGAGCCACAGGCTCCAACCCAGAGAACCGGGGCCAGGTTCGGCGCCCTGGACACCGGGGAAACCCCAGGCCCACAGGGAGGAGGAAGATAGGGCCTGTGCACCCCCAGAGGCACGGGGGAGGTGGGGCCTGTGCCCTTCCCCACCCCCCACCCGCATGCATGCAGGGAGGTGGGCCTGTGCCCTCCTGGTGGGGCCACCCCTCCCTGGCCCCAAGGAGCCCTGCACAAGCTGGCATCCTCGCAGCCCGGGAGACTCTGCTGGAAGCACCATTCCTGTCCTGCTGGAGTCTGGCAAGGAGGCATTTGTCCCACAGGATGGCTCTCCCTTCTAGAACACAGACTCCCGCATGGTAGGGATCCAGTTGTCTATGATATTCAGGAGCTGGGAGCATGGCAGTCAGGGGTAACAACCCAATGCTCCTGTGACCCAGAAGCTGGAGAGGACTCCACAGTGGCCTTCTGGGAACAGGAGGGGAAGAGCCACAGTCTTCAGTTGGGGGCTGAAAGGGGGGCTGGAGCAGTCCTAAGGGGGACAGTGAGCTATGGGTACAGGGGAGCAGCCATGCAGGGGACTTGGATGGGACACAAGTGAGTGCAGGAGCAGCACGGGCTGGCCTCTGCTGGCTGCAGGGACAGAGAGGAGGGCCATGGTGGTGGGGGCAGGAGGTTCTGGAAGTGGCCCAGTTGGGGAGAGCTGAGCAGACTTCCCCAGGGATGGTGTGAGGAGAGACAGGGAGAGCAGCCAGTGGGGACGCCTCTGCTCAGGAAACTGTCAGACTCGACCGGACAGGGACAGCACAGACTTGCCTGGAAGCCTCAAGCCACTGAAGATGCCACATGTCTCCCAATCACACTAAACAATTAGAATAGTTACAAAGTGTCAATAAGACATTTCTGAACCCAACAGGCCAAATCAAGTCATCTGAAGAAGCACACAGTAACAGCTAGCATCTTCCGCAGGGACACGGAGCCCTGAAGACTGTCCCATGGCGGGGACAGGGCATTCCGAGGCTGCAGGAGCCACAGCCTGGAGCATCCCTGGGAGACTTGCCCCTCAGTGGGATTCAGTCACCACTAGCCCCGTGGGCAGTTCTTGCCAGCTGGCTCTCAGATCTTACACAGTAATTCCGGGCTGACTATAAAATTATAAGTGAAACAATAATGCATGAAAATTAAAATCTGATCGAACCTTGTATAATCTTAGTCTGGGGACTGCTTCCTAAATCTGCCAGCAAACCAGACCCTGAAGGACAGGACAGATGGATTTGACAACAGAGTGAACAACTCCATGTAGCGAAGTTCAAAGGGAGAGAAGGTCCTCCCCGAAACAGGCTGCAGGGAGGGCGGCAGGGTCTGGAGAGAGCTCTCCGGAGGCTGGAAGGGCAGGAGTCTCCAGTAAGGGACCTGAGGAAATACCTCAATGCCACATTGCCGCATCCGTGTGTGGAGAGGACCTTCAGCTCCTGCGTGAGTCCCCGGAAGACGGAAAGTGGAAGCTCCTGGCAATGCTCCCTACGGACCAGGTGTCCCGGGGGCGCCACTCTCACTGGCCTCACCAGCAAGCAAGCTAAGATGATTATGGGAACGCTCCTAAAACCTGAAAATGCAACCTCTGTGAATTCTGCCCAAAGGAAAACTAGGTGGGAGGTAGGTGTGTGTGTGTGTGTGTGTGTGTGTGTGTGTGTGGCCCCCATCCACGAGTGAGCCCTAAGACAGTAGACGTCCAGTGGGGCAGGTGGTGGGCCGGTGCCTCTGTTCCTCCAGGAAAATGATAGGACACACGCAGTGCCCCAGGAAGGCAGGTTAACATCACAGGAGGAGCCATTTAATTAAAAACAAATGGACACATGAAAACACATGTGTGCACGTGCATGGGGGCGTGTGATATACTTGGTGTGCACCTAGGCACAGATTACAATCTAATCTGTTCAGGGGATCTGTTCCTGAGCAATACGATGAGGATTTTCAGTTTTCATTTATTTTATTGTGTCCTTTTTTTAACAATGGGTGTAGATTGCATGCATCATCAGAATAAAAATACTATTTTCATTTGGGGAAAATTACGTTGCAGAAAAATATATCCTAGCATAGGAAGATGGGTGGTTAAGTTTAGAATATACCCATCACGCTCCCACATCACGCGCGTGGTATGTGCTGTATGGTGCGTGGTGCGTGTCTGTGGTGTGGCGGGTGGTGTGGGAGGGTGTGACGGACAGCGTGTGTGATGTGTGTGGTGTGTGTACACAGACACAGATGGGATTGGCAGCACACACACCAAAGTATTGGCAATGGAAACTTCCGGGTTTGGGGATAATTGGCATCCAATTTTTTCTTGCTTTTGTGTGGATACATATCTCTGAATGTAATAATTAACAAGAAGTTCAAAATTAGGAGGTGCTCATTAGGAGCACTCTGGAGGTGGGAGCCACCCACACCTCTCCATGGGCTTCCCCCACCCAGGCCCCGGCCCCTCCCTGGGAAGTCCCCCCAACAGCCACAGCCTGGGGCAGGACTGGCCAACACACACCTGCAGAGCTACACAAGTGCTCAGGTGCCCTCCTCAGCCCTTTTTCTGGGAGCCCCCCAGGAAGCTTCCCACAAAAGGAGCCCCATCTTTTATGAGAGCACCGGGAAATCAGGCAAAACCATGGCTGCCGGTGGGGCTGCCTTGACCGGCAAAAAGCTGGCCTAGTTGGGGTCCCTGCCCCAGCTCAGCCCCCTCCCTTTCCCAACTTCCTCTCCCACCTGCCCCCCCCCGCCCCCCCCCTCCTCCTCCCTGGCCATGCCCACCACCTTCTTGCTCTGCGGCCTGGCACCCCAGTCTTCAGTCCTCCCTGCCCCCTTCCTGCCACCCTCTGTGAAGGCAGACCCACCACCATCACCACCACCACCATCGATGTGCAGCGCTCCTCACAGTCACTCCCACACCCCCTCTGTCTCAATCACTTCAATTCTCCTACCCAGCGTCTCAGCCCCGGAGCCTGCCTGACACACACAGACACTCAATAAATACACACAGAAGAAATGGACGCATTCCCCCCTCCCCGCAACTCTTCTGGGCACCAGCAGGGGGCCTGGAGCCTTCCAACAGGAATGCAGAGGGACACCCCCTGGGAAGCCCCCAAACGTTCCTCAGGGGTGCAGGAGTGACCTTCTGATAGTCATCTCTAGAGCTCCAGTACGGAACCTCATCCACCCAACCTTCCCGTCAACTGACAGATGCCAGGCACCAAGTAGTCAGGGATACCTCGGAAACTCTGGGCTTGGCGTGGCAGGGGCGGGTGGAGCAAGGCACAGAGGGTTAAAAACACCCCCCATGGGACCATTTTATTCTGAGATCAGGAGGGGCCCTTGCCATGCAGGTGCAGACAGCCTGCATGAGGCCAGAAGAACCCAGGGCCAGCAGCCTGGAGGCGGCCCCGGGTTGTGGGTGCCCGCAGGTGGGGATCAGGGCCACCTGGCCTGCGCTGGGCCCTCCCTGGCCTCAGGCATCCAGGGCTGCTCGCTCCGTCATTGAGTTTCTTCCGCCCTCTGGTGCAAGTCCTCCAGATGGGGCCCTGGAGGAGGAACTGGCAGGGAGGAGGAAGGTGAGGGGCCTGGGCTGTCCCCGGGGAGGCAGAGGCCCCTTCAGGAATGCAGAGGAGCCCCGCGCCCCCTGGGGACCCTACCAGCTTGCCACAGTTTGGGGCGTCCCCCCAGCTCTGCGAGTCCCGGGCTCCCCACTACATTCAGAGAGACAAGAGCCCCGCCCAAGCCCTGCTTGGCGTCATGCTTGCACATGTGTGGCATGCACGGCGATGACTCAGTCTCTTCAAAGTGGGGGGACTCCCAGATTGGGCTCTCCAGGCCAAGGGTGCCTTGTCCAGGCTCACGTGCACCCCACAGGAGCCCCAATTCACAGAACGGGCCTGGAGACGACGGAGTGTCAGAGCTCAGAGAGGAAGGGTTCCAGTGGCACAGGCCCAAGGGCAGCAGTCAGCCCAGCCTTTCTGTCCATCCATACCAAGGACAGGCTCGGAGAAAGAGTGAAGCAACACCTGCCCCTCTCCCTACCTGGTCAAGTCCCAGGGGGCAGCTGTGCACACAGCTTTGCTCCCCATCAGCTGCCCTCAGAGCAGTGGAGCCCTGGTCCTGAGTCACCATGCATGTGCCCACAGCTTCTCCCCAGATCATCCAAAGGAGGGTACATTGGGAGGGTGGGCTAGGAAGAAGCTTCCAGAACCAGTGCCAATGCCAAGGGCCCTGTGGTCCAAGGAAACTGGTGCCCACCAGGGCCCCCACGTGTACAGAGGAGCCCCAGGGATAGTGCCCCGGTTCTGCAAGTCCCTGGCCATGCCCACCTCCAGGGAGCCAGGGGTTCATGACCCCTAGAGGAGGGGAGGGGAGAGGGTGCTCAGCCCCGTCCTGTCAGCACAGCAGGCCCACCTGGGAGTTCTGGAAAGCAGCTGGAATCCGAGAGGTTTTGGGGAATAATACAGACCTCCCCCCCTCCCCACCCCACAGGCCCATGTCCTCAGACACAACAGCCCCCACGGCAGCCCCCACGGCAGCCCCCACAGCCGGGCGTGCAGACTCACCAATGACCGACAGGGAGCAGCAGTCCCGCTTGTGGAAGTCGCCCCATGCCCTGGTCTTGCAGGACTTGCTGCAGGTCAGGATCCCGTAGCAGCGGGTGCAGGGAACCAGGCGCACACCCACGGAGCGGCCACACTGGGAGCAGAACTTGAAGAAGGGAATCCTGCACGGGAGCCACAGGGGCAGTCGGGGGGGTGCCCGCCCTCTGGGCCCTGCCGCCCCCACAGACGGGTGCTGGTGCCAGGCCCACCATTCTCCTCACTGGGTGGCCACTCGCATGTGGACGGGGACCTGAAATCCCTGTCCAGGGATGTCCAGCTCTTTCAAACCGGAAACACAACACCATGGTCAGAACAACACAATGCCACGGCGTTGGGGACCCTTTTGGGCCACAGAGCAGGTGCAGCTGACCCTACAGGCCCACTCACATGCTCTGCGTCAGGAGGAAGGTGAGCCCCCAGGGTGGACACCACCCCCTGGCCTGTCCCCGCTCAGCACCCCCACCTCACCCACCGGGGTTTCCTGCAGTCAACTTCCATGATGCTCACAGGGATAGCGAGGTGCCCATTTATTTAGAGACACCGTTCTGGAACAGCAGGCTGTGTACAGAGCCATGATCCCAGGGAAGGGCCGGTGGGGAAGGGGCTGGGAGGGCTGCAGGACCCCAGGGCAGCCCAGCTGCTGTGACGGCAGAAGTGTCTTCAAGAAGCAGAGCCAGGGCTCAAACCCCCCTGGGCCATTCTACAAGGGCCCTGCGACCCCATCTGCCATCCTCATCTTGGCCCACGCCCATGGCTGTCCTGGGCAGGGGCAGTCCAGCCAGGCCACGCAGCCCAGCCCGCAGCCCCACTAGCCACTTACATCTCCTGCTCCTCGGCACGCAGCGACTTGGATGGGCTGGTGCTTTTCCGCTTCAGCCTCTGGTAGGGGGTCAGCTCCACTGCAGCGACAGAGAACCGTGGGTCCCCCTAGCCATGCTGCAATGCCCGTGGGCAGCAGAAACCCGGAGCCTCCCACCTCAACCTCTCTCCTGTGGTGGGCCCACTCCCAGCACTGCAGAGAACCAGGGGGGACCCCAAGCCTTCTACAGCCCAAAGCAAGTCAGAGGACACAGAGCAGGGGCTGGGGCACTAGGGCGTCCACCTCTGGGGAGGGGCTTCCCCTCCTTGGCTTCCCTCTGCTTCTGCATCCATCTCTGCCATCGGCTGGCTCAGTTAAGAGGCCATGCTTTGGCCTTGACTAGCTCACGATGCTCTCCAGAGTGAAGACTCCTGGCTGGCTGTCAGGCAGTTGGCAGCAGGAAACATGTGGGCTGGGGACCAAAGGCCAGTGAAGCCCCCCCCCAAGGACAGTCTCAGGTTCTGCTCCACCCGCCACCTTCCTCTCCTCAAACAGCATGTCAGCCCCCTCAGGAAGGCCACCTAACCTCTAATGTGGCAGAAACCTCCCAAAACAAAGCCCTTGTTGTGAGGACCCCATGGCCCCAGAGCCAAGCCACCAGGAGAGGTGACGGTCATGCAGAACCGGAAGTGGGGCTGAAGGGGTGGCAGCTCTGCAGTCAGTTCTTTTGAAGGACATGGGCAGGGTAAAAGGAAAGCACCTCCTTGTGTTAAGGCGGTGGGACTCTTGCAGCTCTGATGACCTAGCATTCGCATTCCATCCTGTCCACACATGTGAAGTGCACAGAACAGCGGCTCACACGTTTGCAGTGTGCAGACATCACCGTCCTCAACTTTACAACATGCCCATCCATTCAGATGGGAGCCTGGCCCCTGACAGCTGCCTTCCCCCTGGTCCTAGGCAACCACTGACCTACTTTGTCTCTATGGATCGGCCTATTCTGGACATTTCCTATGAATGGAATGGTATGTGTGTGGTCTTTGGTGACTAGATTCTTTTGCTTAAAACAATGTTTTTTGAGGTTTATCCATGTCCTAGCATGCACTGGCAGTCCATTCCTTTTTCTGGATGAATCATATACCATTGCGGGGATATGCCACAATTTGCTTATCCATAATCCTTTGATAAATACTTGGGTTGTTTCCATTCTTTGGCTTTTCTAAATGTTGCTACAAACGTGTGAGCACGAGTTTTGTGTGGACATATGTTCCCATTTCTCTCAAGTGTATACCTAGGAGCGGAATTGCTGGGTCACATCGTAACTCTATGATGAACATTTAAGGAATGGCCAGACTGCTTTCCGAAGAGGCTGCACCATTTTCTGTTCCCACCTGCGAGGTGGGAGTGCTCTGCTTTCCCAACGTCCTCGCCAGCACCTGTTACTGACTTCCCGATTATCTCCATCTTCGTGGATGTGGAGGGACAGCTCAGGGCAGTTTGATGTGTATGGGACTGGAAACTGATGATAGCATCCTCTCATGAACTGTTCACCATTTGTAGATATTTCTTCGGAGAAATTTCTATCCAAAGTCCTTGTCTACTTTTAAATTCAGTTGTCTTTATTATGGAGTTGTAAAGTTTTTTAATTTATCATACATACAAGTCCCTTATGAGATATATGATTTTCGATATATCTTCCCACACCATGGGTTTTCTTTTCATTTTCTCGGTAGGGTCCTCTGAAGCATGAAAGTTTTTTAATTTTGATGAAATCCAATTTATCCATTTTTTTCTTTCATCACTCGTGCTCTCAGTGCCATAGCTAGGAATTCATTGCCAACTCAGAGGATTTGAAGATTTGTCCCTATATTCTCTCTGAAGAGATCTATAGTTTAAGCTCTTGCAGTTAGGTCTTCAACCCAAATTGAATTCAGTTTTGTATGTGGTGTGAGGTAGGGTCAAACTTCATTCTATGGTGTCTGGATAACCACTTGTCCCAGTCCCATCTGTTGAAAAGTCTGTTCTTGCCCTCATTTCAAAGTGTGGGCATCCTTGTTGAAAATCAGCTGACATGCACATGTATTTATTTCTGGGACCTGCGTTCCAGTCCATCGGTCCATATGTCTGTCTTCTTGCCAGTGCCACACTCTTGTTATTGTCATTTCGCAGTAAGTCTCGATTTAGGAAGTGTGAGTCTTTCCACTTCGCTCTTTTCTTTCAAGATCACTACAGTTATTCTGGGACCTTTGTAATTCCATATGAATGTGAAAATCAGCTTCCCCATTTGTACAAAGGAGGCGGTGGGATTCAGATAAGGAGATGTCTTCCCATTTACTGAGGCCTCCTTTAACTTCAGCAACATATTGTAGTTTTGAGAGTGCAAGTTTCACATGGCTGTTGTTAAATGTATTTCCAAGTATTCTATTTTTATTGATGCTACTGTAAATGAAAGTTTTTTAAATCTCATTTTTGGTTTGCTTGCATATTGATCTCATATCCTGCAATCTTAGCTTAATGCACTTGTTAGTTTTAATAGTGTAATCATTTTATATTTTGTATTTTAATATTTATATGTTTAGTTGAATATTAGTTGCAGTTTAAAAGGATTCCCAGGATTTTCAGTCTTCAGGATAATTTCTGCAAAGAGAGACAGTTTAAGTCTTTCCTTTCCAATCTGAATGACTTTCTTTTTCTTGCCTAGTTACGATGGCTAACAACTCCAGCACAACATCAAACAGAAATGGTGAGGGACACATTCCAGTCTTCTTCCTGATCATAGGGCAAAGCATCCTGTCCCCCACTGTGGGGTCTGATGTATGCTGTGGGTACATCACAGCAGTGTAGGACCCCCTAATCAGGTTAAGCGAGTGCCCCCTCTCTTCCTTGTTTGTTGTATGTTATTATGAAAGGGTGTTGGATTTTGACAAATGCTTTTTCTACATCAGTTGAAATGATCATGTGGTTTTCTTCTTCAGTCTAAAAATGTGGTGTATTACACTGATTTTGCTGTTGTTAAACCATTCTTGCATTCCAAGTTCTGGCTGCAAGCAACCAGGGAGCAGAGGGGACAGAGCTCAGAGGTGGAAGAGCCAGGGTGCAAGGAGTCAAGCTGTGTTGGGGCACAGGGGTCCGGCGGCTGAGGCAGAGCTAGGTAGAAGCAGCAGCCACCATCCAGAGGGAGAGCCTGTCCTATGCAACCGTGGCCAGAGCAGTGACCTGTGTGATTCCTGGCAGACACAACCCCAGCCCCCTTGGTGACTTGAGTGCAAAGGCCACTGTCCTGGGTATATGACTCTATACTTCCTGGGGATACCCTACTGTAGAGAGGAGACACAGATGGCTGACCAGCATGCTAAGGGGCTGGTCTCGCACAGTGTCCTGCTCTCCGGGGAAGTGTGCTCGGCTCTCAGCAGATGGCTTTGTACCAGGAGTCCGGCTCTTGTTAGAACTGCCATTACTACATCTAAGAAGCAAATTCCCTGCATGCACTTAAGTTTTTTCCAGATCCTTCTGGGGATCCATAAACCTGTCTTCCGGGTCACCTGGGTGGCTCAATGGGTTAAAGCCTCTGCCTTCAGCTCAGGTCATGATCTCAGGGTCCTGGGATCGAGCCCCGCATCGGGCTCTCTGATCAGCAGGGAGCCTGCATCCCCCTCTCTTTCTGCCTGCCTCTCTGCCTACTTGTGATCTCTTCCTATCAAATAAATAAATAAAATCTTAAAAAAAACCAATAAGCCTGCCTTCCAAGTCTAATGACCTTGCAGCCCCTCCTTCCACTCTCTCGCTCAAAACTCCACTGCCTCGGGCTGGCTCTGCCGTGTGTTGCCCCTGGCCAGCCCACGTGGGGCCTCAGGACCCAGGGCCGCACCCCCCAAACCAGGCAACACCAGGCAGGAGCACGGTCCCCATTTCAGCCCCCGGGAGGTAGCTCTCCAAGCAGAGGGCAGAGTGGGTCCCTCTTCCTCCTGCTCCAGAGCTGATCAGCCCACCTCGGGAGCCTGTGGCCCCAAGCCAAGAGTGTCCTGAGGTTACCCTCAACTGCTGGCATCCCATGGAGCAGTGGGGCCTGCCCCCATGACCCCCGCCCATAGGAGAACAAAGCAGGGTCCTGGAGCCACTGAGCTGTCATGGAGCAAAGCCCCTGCTGCTTCCCACTGGAGGGCGGCGTGGCAGCCTTAACCAGCTCAGCCAGAAACTCTCCGTTCTCGGGCGTCAGGCCTATGCCATAGCCTGTGAGGACAGACGTCACGGCCTGTGACCCCCACCTTTCTTGCTCAGGGTCAGCAGCTTCGGATCCCACTGACTCTCCTTGGCAAAGACAGCGCGGCGCAGCTGGAAGCCCATATATTCCAGGAGCCTCTTGCGGGCCAGGAACAGCTCCCGCTCGGCTGGCATTAGCATGTGGAAGGGGCAGTGGGCGATCTTCCGGTCCTGTGGCACAGCATCCCGTCACAACCAGGGACCGCATGGCCCCAGCCAACCGCCTGGCCACCCAGCATGGGAGGGACACGGATCCGGGCCAGCACAGGGGAAGCCCACCTCCCCAGGGTGAGGACAGCACGGAGCAGTGCTCGGAAAGCTGGCAACAGGCGCCCCGGTGGCAGGGTGTGCTAAGGGTGCAGCCCAGGCTGGGTTTCGCTCCGAGGCAGGAAGGGCCTGTGGCCCAGCCTTGCTCAAGGGACTCTCAGGGCCCCACCCCTCACCCCCATCGCCAGTGGGACACTCAGAGCCATACCTGGTAGAATTTGAAATACCCATAGTCGACAGCCGTGCCCACAGCCACCCTGTCCCCCTGCATGAGCGTCACGGGGTTCAGGATGTCAGCCCCATGATGAATGAGCCGATCAATCTGTGGAGAGCAGAGCCTGAGTCACATGTGTGTGGACTCCCGGGCCACCAGAAGGCAGGATTCGGGAACCAGGGTGCCCAACACTGTGGCCCACATCACCTGCGGCTTCCCAGTCTTTGCACCGCGGCGGTGGCAGGGGGCAGCCCGATGATAGGGCCCCTCGCTGGAGAGCAGGTGCAGCCAGCAAGGGCTGTCATTGCCCTCACTGGGAAGGCAGGGAAGCCACCCTCTCAGGTATAAGGAGAGTCGGCAGACAGACAGACAGGATAGATATGCTGACCCCACAGATGACAAGTTAGGGCAGAGCATAAGGTAGGTCGAGGCTCGGCCACTGCTCAGGGAGCCCCCTCCCACCCCCACCACACCAGGGACTTGCTGTGGGTCTGTAACTTGAGGCTGGTTATGGTCCCAGTCCCCAGACCAAAAGCGAGAGGACAGCAACCACCAAGCACGTTCCAACCGCACCCCCAACGTCCGGGGCGCTCAGGGACTGCGGGTGCCTGTGCGCGCGCGGGGACAAAGTGCGTTGGTCGGCGAGCACAGGCAACTTCGGGCTTCTTCCCACTGAGTTCATTCACAGCAAACAGCACCCAAGAGAGGGGCCCACCTCCACCCTGAGGAGGGAGGGGGCAGGGACCGTAAGAGGCTCCAGGGTCTTACAGTCTCAGCTTGAATCTTAGCCCAACTGCAGAACCACGGGGCTAGGTGCGGCCCCATCCTAGCAGACTAAAACAAGGCTGTCACCCGCCAAGTCGCCCGCACCGCACGTGGCCTACTTCCCAGCCACATGCCAGTGGGCTGTCACTGGGGGGTGCTCAGCAGTCCCCCAACAGCGAGGGGAGCACAGCGCCCATGAGCGGGAAGCCCCAAGCCTGTCCCCAGATGTGTGGACCCTGCTTGCAGCCAGAACGGAAGGGCTAAATGCCTCTCTTGTGGGAGACCCCTGGGCACCCTACAACCCACGCGGGCAGGGCATTTAGCTGCGGTTGCTGGGCCTGGGGGTGGGGTGCATTTTCCTGGGGAAGCACAGACAGGAAGTCAGCCCTTGCACAGTCTCTGTCGTCATCTGGGCCTCAGAGACACAACCACCGTCCCAAGAGCAAGAGGCCAGCTGGTAGGACAAGCTCCAGGCTCATGTCAGAGTAGGAGGGGTTGAAGAACGCTATCGGACCATGAGCCACGTCAGGAGAGTGGGGGGCTGCCAATGGCAGGAGGGCAAGGGTTGGGGGAGGCCCGGTGTCCCACATCCCTATCACACGTCCAATAAATGCGTACTTCCTTGGTATGACAACATGAAGGCCAACCCCAGCTGGGGCTGGCAAAGTGCTGGGTGGCAGGCACAGGGGAGTGTCAGGGAGCCCAGAAGGTGGGGAGGTGGGCGGCTAAGGTGTGAATAACCCGTGCATCTAAGAGAGGGGATATGGCATTCCCATGCTGTTTGCCGAACTTTTATGCCTTTGTCGTGATAAATAGTAGTAATGAGTAAGTTGTACATAATTAAATCACTGAAAAGCCAACTGGTGGGTGATTCAGGGGCAGGGGCAGGAACCCACAGGTGTGTGAGGGTCCCCTTGATGAACCAGAAAGCAAGGCAGGCATCAGAGGCTGAGGGGACCCAGGGAAAGGCTCCTAAGGTCAAAGACAAGAGGGGCGCCTGGGTGGCTCAGTGGGTTAAAGCCTCTGCCTTCGGCTCAGGTCATGATCCCAGAGTCCTGGGATTAGCATCGGGCTCTCTGCTCGGCAGGGAGCCTGCTTCCTCCTCTTTCTCTCTGCTTGCCTCTCTGCCTACTTGTGATCTCTGTCAAATAAATAAAATCTTTAAAAAAAAAAAAAGGTCAAAGACAAGATGATTTAACGGTCAAGAAAGAGAGTCCTTCTACTTCCCAGATAATTATGGAGGCAGATGGCATGGTTGGGGCAAAGCTGACCTACCCACCCGCAGATCCAGAACCACGGAGAGGCCCCAGAAGCACATGTGGGGGCACTTCTGGGTGCTTAGAGGACAGGAGATCAGGATCAAGGGAGGATCCTTAAAATGAGATCCAGAAACATGATCTCAAGGAAAAGGGTTACTTCTTTTTCCCTAAAGTGGAACTGTCAAGTTCTCAACCCCCGTCTGGTGCCTCCAGCTCTTGGAGAACCAGACCATGGCCCTCAAGGAGCCGGGATAGCGAGCAGCCCACATAGAGCTGTCCCCCCATGGGTGCGGAAAGGGGCAAATGCACAGCACAGGGAGGGCCTGTCCATGCCGCACTGCCGTGGGAGACCCCAGGCCCCAGCATGGGAGTGAGGAGGGGGAAGACACACAAGGGGCCATGCTGGGGGCCTGGCGGGGCCAGAGCAGCTGGGAGGACAGACGGGGACTCTGAGGGAACAGCACAGCATGCAGGACCTACAAAGCAGAGTGCCCTCCTGGTCACACTGAGCCCACCCGGAAGAAACAGCAAGGCTACCAACAGCCAGGACACGGTGCCCCCAAAGACCCCCGCCTGGGGCATGGCACCTCCCCAAAACTCCCGCCCAGGGCCCGGCACCCCCCCAGGCCCCCACCCAGGGCAGGACCAATGCCGTTCCAGCACGTCCTTGACCAGGATCCCTCGCCAATGCCCACTCTACTCAGAAAATCCACGGTCCTGCCGCCCAACCAAAGTGATGGCCTACATCTTCCTTGAGATGAACCAGAGGACTTTGTCTGGCCTGTTGAGTGGGTTTGTACGTCACATGTTCAGGCCCATATAACATAAAAGGCAGGAATTCTGTGTTCTTTCTTAAGTACCGAGCAAGATTACTTGAAACCCTACCTGCCAGGAATGAAGCCTAAGCCAAGGGTTCCTATATACATGCCCAGACCCCTACATGCTAGGGCCCCTTGCCCTGCACGCCACCCCCCACCCCAGCCTCACCCCTCACCAGGGCCAGCTTGCTATCCATGCTCCTCTGGTGCTCATAGGTGAGGTCACAGGCAACACACAGGGCGCTGCCTAAGCCTTTGGTCAGCAGCAGGTTGGGGTCAGCTCCGTGGGACAGAAGCTCCTTCACAATCTGGTCACAGAGAAGCCCGTCAGCACCCCTTCGGCCCCCCTCTCCTTGTACGTGGAGGAAGTAGCTAGAGGTTTCTGCCATCCTGAGCACAGTGGCAGCCACACCTGGCCACTTCCTATCCGCCCCCCCACCGCAGGTACCACTGCTGTCCCAGCTCAGGGGACGAGGTTGGGGCAGGGAGAGGGCACACGGTGGCTCCCCACGGATGGCTGTGACACCCACCCCAGCAGCCCAGGGCTGGCACTTTCTCTGCACACTGTCTGTTTGCTCTAAATTGCTCCCTGCTCACATCTTGTTTTCCAGCCCCAGGGACCAGCACACTGCCTGGTGTGCGTCCCATCAGCCCTCCTCCCTGGGACCAGTCTGCCTTTGCCCCCAGGCACCTGAGTCACTGTGGTCACCTGACCAGACGCAGAATGGGACACATCTCACTTGCTCCTTGCTGTGTCCCCAGCCACTGGCCCAAGTACCAGCAGGAAGCCAGGAGTGACAGCATCTTGGCTCAGCAGGAGACACACAGGTGTGAGGTTCTCTCAAGAGCTTCCGTCCCCTAGAAGGCAGCTCTCTACCCTGCCTCGCCCACCTACATGACCAGGCACAGAGCAGATGCCCCTCTTAACTTGCTCAGTATATGACTCAAGGTACACATGAAGGGAGGAGGATGGAGAGAAGGACCACAGAAGCCCCCACAACGCTCATCACAGTGCCTCCCTTTTTATCAGGTCTCTGCTGATATGTCACCTCGCCACAGGCCAGAGCGGCCCCTGGTCACCTGCTACAACGGTGCACCCTCCATCATTCTCTACTCTTTATCCAGCTATTACTATCTTCAGAGCACTTACCACCACCTAAAATTTTGTGGCACTCTGGATTATGGTCTGTCTCCCACAGGAGAATGTAGGATCCTTGAGAGCACAGACCTTATTTTATTTAACATTTAATGCCTAGAATGGTATCTGCCTAGCCCTAGTGGATACTCAAAAAGACAACAGTTAAAGGAAAGGATGAATGGCTGTATGTATTATAGATTGCTGGAAGGAGGAAGGAAAGAAGGAAGGATGATGGATGAAGAAGGAATGGTGGAAGAATGGATGACAGACAGATGGATGGATGGATGGAAAGACAAATGGATGGTTGATGGTAAAAGGATGGATGGACGGATGGGAGAACAGATGGAAGGAAAGATGGATGGAAGGAAGGATGGATGTATGGATGGACATATGGATGGATTAGATGGATTGGATGGGTGGGTGGGTAGAAGGATGGATGGATGGTTTGGATGGATGTGTTGTTGGTTGGATGGATGTTTTGTTGGTTGTATGGATGGATGGATGGAAAGATGGACTGGATAGACGTGTGGTTGTATGGATGGATGGATGGAAAGATGGACTGGATGGACGTGTGGTTGAATGGATGGGTGGGTGGGTGGATGTGGGTGAGTGGATGGCTGTGTAGTTGGATGGGTGGATGGATGTGTCATCGGCTGGTTGGGTGGATGGATGGATGGATGGAAGGGTGGGTTGGATGGATGTGTGTTTGGATGGCTGGGTGGAAGGCTGGAAGAATGTATTGATTGGTAGGTGTGGGTAGGTAGGTGAACAGATGGATGAGTGGGTGGGTAGGTAGGTAGATCAACAGATGTATGGATAGATGGGGAGGGGCAGGCAAGGGAATGGATGGATGGACAGGTGGATGCATGGATGGTGAACACATAATCCTTGGCGGCAGCAGAAGATGGTAACTGGCCAAGGTTCCTCTCCCAGTGTCCTGAGGTCAGTGCCCGGGGTAAGCAGGGGTTGTCATCCGCCCATCCTGAGGAAGCATCCACCCAGCGGAACCATCATCCCCACCACCCACTTTCCCTTCTATTCTCTTCTCTCTCTGAGGTGCTCCATCCACCAGGGAGAGGAACCACCACATCCCTTACACTGTGCTGTCTTCATGCTACCCCCACCAACAGCAAGTGCAAAAGCCTGACTAGGGAGGCGGTCACGTTGAGGCAGGAACCCTGCAGGGGCCCCAGCCATGGGTATAGGACACCTCACCAGGTCATTTCCGCTGGCAATGGACAGGGAGAGTGGGGAGTGGCCACTCCACAGCATGTTGGGGTTCGCCTTGTGGGAGAGGAGGAGCCGGACTATGTCTCTGGCACACTGTGGGGGGAGAAAGGTGGGGCCACAGGTTAAAGAGGTGCCCTGACTCCCAGGAGCACCTGGGATGGATCATTAACTCAAATGCCATAAAACCAAGTTCGTCGCTGAATTGGTATTTCCCACACACCGGCTCCTGGCATGGCACACGAGACAGCTCTAAATTTTGGATGGATGCACAGACAGGTGGGGGGTTGGGTAGATCCTCAAACAGGAAAACGTTTGCTCAACATACATCATTTCCAACACAAAACAGGAAGGACACATGATGCACAAATTGCTTTAAGGCTTGTTCGCAAAGTGGAGGGGAGCGTCGGGACTATGTGACTCCAGGAGCCAGGCTGACCCATGGTAGCTATGGCTGGAAGAACATGCCCTGCCCCAGGACCCAGGGACCGTATAGGACACCAGAGCACAGGAGAAGCCCAGCCTCAGCAACAGGGGTGCATTCCATGCTGGAAGGGCCCATCCTTGCTCTCCCTGCCCTTCTCCCTGGGGACACCGCAGCTTCCCCTTCTCTCCTGCCTCTTCTCCCAGAAGCGCTCTGGAAGCCCTTGCAGCTTTGATTCCCCTCACAAGGACTCTTCCAGGCTCCAGTTCCCCCTGCAGGTGTGCAGACCCGGTGAGCAGGTTTGGTCCCACACCCCCGCCCACCCCCAGCCAGGCCAAGTCTGCTGAGGGGCTTCTGGAAAAGGGTCCCCCTGCTCTCCTCCCTGCCAGGACACACACATGATGGCTCAGAGTGGTGGTCTGAGCTCAATGAGCCTTCGACCAGGGTTACTGTGGGGCAGGGAGGCATGTTGGTGCCTCCACCTGCCCCTGCAGCACCACCCCACATCCACCCTAATGCAGGTCGTCACACCCTCACAACAGGACGGGTGTGCCCGATTGCAACCCTGTGTGGTGGCAGACCACCCATGCCACAGGCCCAAGAGGCTGGCTATGACTTCCACTCTGTGGGTGGGTAAACTGAGGCCCAGTTTACTATGTGCTCTGAGGCTTATTGACCCAGGCTGCACTGCCCTGTAGCACAAAGCCAAGTCTTGGTTCCCAGCTGCACCCACGCCCTCCACAGCCACTTGGCCTCCTGTGACAGGTTCCTGCACCCACCTTGTTGACAGTTAATCCCCAAGGTGGACAGGAGGCACGGCCCAGGGCTCTATGGAACAAGGCCACCCCAGGGTCCCGAAGCCAAGATGGGGACTGGCAGGGCTCCCCACATACACAGACACACAGGTGCACACGCATCCCCCATGCACACACACATAGCTTACATACATATGTGCCCACAGATAGGTGTGCTCTGGCCTACAAGTGTAAGTTTGCAGAGTCACGTGTGCACGTACACAGGTATGCACACACAGAACACACACATACACATTCGTGTGCATACACTTGCCTGGGGCATACCCAAGGCACTCACACACGTGTACAGAGGCACATGCACACATGCTCCCCGCCCAGCTCACCTTGTCGTTGTCCTCCCGCTCACAGGCCACGTGCAGAGCCGTCCTGCCCCCCTCAACCGGTGGGGCCATGGGCTTGCTGTGGTAGATGCTGGCCGGGCCTGGTTCGTTGCTGAGCTTCAGGCTTGAAGGCAACAGGTCTAGCTGCGTACAGACAGGGGTGGGCACGTGCCGGCCCCCAAGCCTCCCCCACAAGCACCAGGCTGGGCCCGGAGACCTGCAGGTGCGACCTCCCACACAGACATGTTCCCACAGAGGAGCACAAGCCAACGGCCCTGCTCACCGACGGCGGGTCTGAGCACCGTCCTGTGGAACCCTCTGGCCAGCCCACCAGCACCCATGGGCCCCAGGGAGGGTCAGAGCTGGGCCCCCACCCCACTGTGGTCCTGCAGGCAGGGAGCACATGAATGCTAACAGAGGCAGACTGGGTGGGCTGGGGGTCCACAGAGCAGTAATCGCTCTTGTCAGGGACCGTGACACGGAAGTGACGTTCTGAATAGAGCAGTCAGCACTGGGCATGGGGAGGCCCCCCGGGGCCAACAGCACCCCTTCACCCCACGGGACAGGACGCACACCTTGCCGGTCTTGTACGTGTCGTCCTGGTCGGCAGCCATGGCGTCCACATCCGTGACAGCATGGAGCAGCAGCTCCGTTATCTTGACACCCTCCTCCCCGGGAAGGGCAGCTGCGATGTGCAGGGGGGTGAGGGCCCTCAGCTGCAGAGGCAACATGGGTAGGGGTGAGGGCCGGCTCCCCGGTGAGCGGCACCCCCAGGGCCCCACCCCTCTCAGAAACCCCACAGCACTGCCTCGTGGTGATATGTGGGAACGTGACAAGGTGTTCCTGTTTGCTGGGCCTGCAGCAGGCCAGCAACCCCATCTTCACTTTAGACCAACTGTCCCTACCTTCCTCTGAGAAGAGCCACTGCCCTTCCTGCCGGGCCCTCAGCATGGATGGCCAAGCAGCTCCCGACTCCAGACCCTGCCCAGGCCGGTCCCTTCTCCACCCACGGAGCCCCTGGCCATGTGCTGAGACACTGGCGGGAGGACCATCTCCATCTCCATGTTCTGCTCATTCTGGGCCGGCCCCATGGAGGTGTGAGCATCCTGCCAGGAGCGCGCAGCGGACCAGGGGCGAAGTGGAGGGCTGTCTGCTCCCCACAAGCAGAACCCCCAAAGCAGGGTCTCAGGGTAACAGCTGGTGCCCGTGGAGAAAGGTCGGGAGGACAGCAGCCCACCGCACACAGGTGCTCTCCGGCCTGCTCAGTGTCCACCCGAAGCTTAGAATAGCATGGAACCGCGCCTGCAGAGAGGACTGCAGGAGTGTCAGATGCCTGAGCAGGAAGTGGGATGGATGAGCACGCGAACGACATCTGTCTGGCATTCACAGGCTGCCCCTAGGCTATCCTGAAATTATCCCTGGTCTCCCGCAGACATGCTACCGTCCTGCACTCAGGACACCTCCATACAGAGAAGAGAAGGGGTGCACGGCCTGGCCAGGGGAGGGGGGAGTGGGGCTGGCGAGGAGAGACCCACCTGCCACTGAGCCAGGACACCGAGCAGCAGCTGAAGCCAGACAAGTCTGTCAGCCTCACTGCCCCCCGCGACCCGCCCCATGCACACCCCCCGCCCCCAGGCACAACACCCTGCAGGCCCCCACCAGAACTCCCCCACCCCCTGTTCCACTCCGCCCGGGCCCCGCCCCCAGCACCGCAAAGAGCTTGTGTTCTCATCACCAGAGAAGAAACGGTACCGTGAGGACATTTCGAAACCAAGTGCTCTAACTTCTTGCCACTAATGAGCCCCCGTCAGCTCACCCCCTCGGCCTCGCAGGACCCCTCCGCACCCCCGCGGGGGGTCCCACCTCAATAGGGAGCTGGATGTCCGTCCTGGCCCTGTTCTCCAGCAGCAGCTTCACCCCGGCCACGTCCCCGGCCTTGACGGCAAAGAACAGGGCCTGCATGGGCACGCGGCACAGGTTGGGGTCCGCGCCCCGGTGCAGCAGAAGCTTGATGGTCTGCCACCTGTTCCTGTGTCTGCAAGGATTAGTGTGAGGGTCAAGGCTGGGGGACAGGCACAGGATGGAACCCCGGGGCAACAGTGGCGCTCCCTAGAAGAGGCGGCTCAGGAGCCCCAGCATTCACAGCCCCTCAGCATTCTTTCCAAGACCTCCGGCCCCTGCCTGGTGCCAGGGCAGCACCCCACTGCCAACGCCCCCTGAGCTGGCCGCCCAGCTCCAGTCCAGCTGCAGCCCTGCCCTGCTCCGGCCTTGGGTGCCCGCCCAGCCTTGCTGGGGTCATCTGTGAGCCAGGGTGTGTGGTGGGGACCAGCCCTCTCTCCCGGGTGGCCAGGAGCTGACAACATAGAGCACCTTGTACACACAGGGCATGACATCGTACCCAGACATGCACACATGCACACACATGCTCATACTACAAACATACCACACATATGTCCATAGGTGTGCACATACACACTGACACACACACAGCTCTGACGAGGGGCAAAGAGCCAGCATCAGTGGGGAAGCCTGGCCAGGACCTGGCCGGCCGGGATGGCAGCCCCACTGGGCAGGAAGGTCAATGTGATGAGGAGCCACGCAGGCATTAAGAATGGCCAAGTGAGCAGGCAGATGGAGGGTCTGGCCCATCCTGCCGATCCCACCTCCCGCACGGCACAGGTGGGACAAATAAGACAGTGGAGAGGCAGGGTGAGTCTAGAATAGTCGTTCTCAAATGTGCTGCTTGTGGGACCCCTCTCTACCCCTAACACCTTCGAAGGACCCTAAAGAGCTTTGTTTATGCAGGTTCTGTCTGCCCACATCTACAGTAGTATAACTGAGAAAAAAATTTAAATACTAATACATTTAAAAAGTAACAGTAAACCCATTGCATATTAACAAAACAATCTATTTTTATGAAAAATGTGTGCTGGGCTGCATCAGAATCTGGCACTTGGAGGGCTCCCAACCCTGCATGAGTCTGGGACATAAGGACATCACCTCCACCCACAGACTCCCTGACAGGGTCTGGGACACCTGGGGACACACTTTGAGAGGGCGGGGGTGAGAGCATGCGAGTGTGTATGTATGGGGAGTGAAGGGTCAAGTGTGTGATGAGTTGTGTAAGCGGGTGTGTGAGTGCACACGTGAATGTGTCACAGTGTAGGGGAGTGAGTGTGTGCAGGCAAGTATATGTGAGCATGTCTGTGGGTGTGCACCGGTGCATGTGTGTGGGCCCTACACGGTGTTCCCTGCCCTGCGGCAGCCAGAGCACACTCCCTGGATTCTCACTGCCACTGTCCCCGAGTTCCTAGCCAGGCCCCCGGCCTTGGAGACCGTGCGCAGGACAGGCCCCATGGCATCCCTGCAGGATCGGGGGTGTGGAACACACAAGTCCAGAAACGCTCCCTCCTGGCAGCTGGGGAAGTGATGCTGGCCCACTGAGCCTGTGACCCACCCCCGAAAGGGACCCTCGGCCCTGATGCCCACACTCCAGAAACCTACTCGGTCATGGCCTGTGCCATCTTCCTCATGGTACCATTTGTGGCGCCAGGGGCACTGAAGGAGGAGGTCTTCAGCATGCTGTGGGCCCGGGCACTCTTCTGCAGGAGGTCCTGGGACAGCGTGATGGAGTAGTTGTGCACACAGATGCTGGACTCGAAGGTCGTCTCCTGGCTGCCCAGTGTGTGCCCGTCCAGACTCCTGACCACACCATCTACCTCTTTCTCTAGGTCACTGATGCTGTCCCGCGGTGACAGAAGGTCCCACTTCTGAGGGTTGCTCCCCAGCTCAGGGGATTCCTGAGACAGCTGGGTGCCCGCAGACAGGCGGTCCTCCTCGCTGCCCGACACAGTGGACTTCTGCTCCTGGCTGCCCAGGCTGGGCACCAATTCCTCTAAATACACAAATTCCTTGGCCACTTCGGGGAATGAGAAGACATGGTTGGGAGTTCCTGGCATATTTGAGGCTTCCTTTGGAAAGTACAAAAAGAGAAAAAAAATCATGTGCAGAAAGAAGTTGGAGCGCCCATCCCATCAAGCCAACTTCTCGAGCAAGGACCGACGCTCACGGCGGACAGCATTCTTCCAGGCGTCTCGTCTGACAACACTAAAATGCTTTGCAGAAACCCAGGGACGGAAGCAAACATCTGGGGGCATCACACAGAGACCCAAGCCATACAGCAGCCACCAGTCACATGTGGCAATGGAGCTCTCCACGTGGGGACCGTCCAGATCCAGGGTGCGCGTGAGCAGACAAAGCAGAATGTCGCCCTGTCCTGATACTGATTTTACACACAGAGAGAATCAATTGTGGATACACATGGTTAAATAAAATAGAGGACTAAAATTAATTCCACCTGTTTTACCTCTTTCTAATGTCGCTCCTAGTGACATTTATTTTTTTAAAGATTTTATTCATTTGAGAGAGAGAGAGCATGAACGAGGACAGGGGCAGAAGGAGAAGCAGGCCCCTGGCTGAGCAGGAAGCCCAATGCAGGGCTCGATCCCAGGACCCCAAGATCATGACCTGAGCCTAAGGCAGAAACTCAAGGGACTGAGCCACCCAGGCGCCCCAGCCCTAGAGACATTTAGATGACAGGACTGGGAATGGGGATTGTGTGACCTTCCTGCCCACAGATGCTCTCCTGCATGCCCGGTTCACAGCCTCTGCTCTCTAAGCATGGTCCCAGGGCCCATCAGCACGGCCAAGAATGCAGATTCTTGGGCCCACCCCATACCCATGAGGCAAAAACGCTGGGGGCTGGGGAGCGCCAGGGGATCCCAGAGGACTCAAAACTTGCTGTTTAACTTTTCAGGTGAGATGAGGGGCTCTGTGGTGGGCTAAGAATGTGTCTTTAGGGGACAGCTGAAGCCCGCTGATGTGGATGGAATTCTCTCTGAACTGCATGCAGCAGAGCGGGGGGGCATGGCAGGCTGGGGACGAAGTTGGGGGGCCTCCTGCTGGCAGCTGCCTAGTCGGGACCATCCCCGCACGCTCCCATATGTATTCCTTCTCTTATGTTGTGTACATGTCGTGTGTTTCAGAGTAAGAAATTCAAAAAAAAGTAGAGGAGTGATTTTTACGAGTATTTTAAGTGCACAAATAAACGCTTTCTGAGGTTCTCGCTCCCCAATAATGGATGAGGCTTCCCCACAGCCAGCGTCCCCCTGGAAACACTGTGGGGACAGTACTCCCAATGAAGGGGTGACCACACAGGGGCCAAAGTGATCTCCACCCCCGTTCACACCGTCACCTTGAAACTTCAAAGTTGTCGTTACTGTACATTAACCACCTCTGGCCAAAAAGGAGAGAGTACTCACAAACCAGATACACGTGAATGGGCCCATAAAAGCAAAGGGACCTTACAGCTGGTTCTCAAACCCTCCACCTTCGACTTCCTGCGGGCTCCTCAGCTCCCACCTCCCTGGGAGACCTCTCCCGGCTGCCTGCACACAGGACCCACCCAGGCCAGCAGGACCCTGTGGGGTCTCTGCCCTTCTTCTCCCCCCAACCAACCCCGTGCACCGGCTCCTCCTCCTCACCCAGGCCAGCAAGACCCTGTGGAACCTGGCCTCCTCACCTCTACCACACCTGCTCCCCCTCCCCACCCAGGGCAGCGGGACCCGCGGGCTCTGGCCTCCTCCCACGTGCACCTGCTCCCCCCACCTACTCCCCACCCTGAAATCCTCGGGACCTGGTGTGGTCCCCCCCAGAGAACTGAAGGCAGGAGCCGAGGCCTGCCCAGGAGGAGCAGGGGCAGGGGCCATGGTCTGGTAACTGAGGAAATCTGCCCACCGCAGGGCATAGGCCACGGCTCAATAAAAGCCTCTTCTCAAGGAAGAAATTCAGGAGACAGGGATGAGGTGAGAGAAGGGTCCCACTAGGGACCTTTTCTAGTGCCGTTCCCTCACCCACCCAGGAGGGGCCCTGACCACGAGGAGAGAAAGCTACAGCTCCCACGGAAGGCTTGCTGGGCGGAGGTCAGTCCCAGGCCTGCTGGCCTCACAGGGCTGACCCTCAGGGTCCAGGGCTTCCCGAGGGGTGTGGAGATGCGGTCCAGCAGCCGGCACTCAGGAGACCAGCCCTGGGGGTTGCCCTGCCTTGCGGAGAGCAGGCCCTCGGACACCACCCTGCTGGGAGCCCGCGCTGGAACAGAGGTATACAGGGCGCCCCTGTGGCGGTGGTGGGGCTCCCGAACAGGTGAAATGCAGGACCACCATGGGACCCCATGGTCCCATGGCTGGGGGTGCTTCCCAAACAATCCGAAGCAGGAGTTCACGCCAACACTTGACGGGGGACTTCTGGGCAGCACTCTTCACACCCAGCGAAGGGGGACCTCCCTCCCAAATTACCAGCCCTCCCTCCCTCCCTCCACGTCTCCTTCCCTGGGCCTGTAGGAGGGTCTCCAGCTGACCACTGTGCATATGGCCAGGATGGGACACAGATCCTTTGGCGTTGCAAAAAGAGCTCAGGACACCCGAGCAGGTGTTCTGGCTCTGTCCCTGCCTCCTGCTCCCTGCCCGTGGGCCTTAGTGCCCCTTCACCCCACCTAAAGCCGATCTGCACAAAGATGGGGAGGCTGGGGACCACTGCTAGGAGAACAGGACAAGTGGATGGAGGATGGGGGACAGAGATTGGGGGATGGGTGCTGCAGACACCAGGCCAGGCAGAGGAGCTGACCTGGGGCTTGGGCTCTGTCCTCTCAGCAATGTTGGGCTTGAAGCACTGGGATGGGTAGTATAGAAGGAAGCACATGCTGAGTGCCGTGAGGCCCTCGTCTGTGTACTTGTTCACGTCGGCCCCATTGTCCAGCAGAAGGTTGACGATGTTGTTGTGACAGTGAACCTAGAAGGAGGAAGCCAGCCTCATAAGGACAGCAGGTGAGTGAGGCCCGCACTAACAAGGTCCCCAGCCTTCTGTACTCTGACCCTGTACATCCCACTTACGGGCTGGAAGGACAGAAGCCCCGCAGAAGGGAGAGGACCCCAGATTGCCACTGTTCCACAGTCCCGGGGACACCCCGCATGGGGACTCACAGCGGCCGCGGCGAGGACGGTGTAGCCCTTGGCATCGGCCACGTCGGCGCTGGCAAGGCCATCCCTGAGGATCCCGTAGATCCAGTCATAGTTCCCTTCCCTGGCCCTAAGGATCATGCCCTCGGCAAGCCTCTCCCTGGGCCCACGACGTGCAAAGCTTCTCCGGTCCCCCTCCAAGATGGCACCCATGTTCCAGCTGGTGTGAGCCTTCTTGTTCCTGGCAACACAATGGGCTTTAGTGGTGAGGGCCCAACTCTGGATGCCCACTCTGGGCCCTCCCTTCCATACCCCTTCTCTTCCTTCCTCACCCTGCTCAACCCCAGGCCCTCTTCTTCCCCTTCCAGGCCACTCCTCAGGCCCCATGCGCCTTGGGGGTTACCCCACCGGGCAGTCACAGTTCATGCGGACACAGCACTGCAGTGTGACTCGTGGCCCCCAGGTGCGATGCTCAAGCTTACCATGGGCCCCGTACATCCCTGAGTCATTGACCACTTGATGTGTGTGTGAAGGGGGCTCTCCCAGGACCAGCCCCGGGCGGGAAGGAGGACGGGCACACACATGGGTCTGGGGCCCAGCACCAAGCCCTCACATCCCAACTCTGCTCATTTTCTTTTCTTTTCTTTTTAAAAAAGATTTTATTTATTTACTTGACAGAGAGAGAGAGAGACAGTGAGAGAAGGAACACAAGCAGGGGAGTGGGGGAGAGCGAGAAGTAGGCTTCCCGCCGGGCAGGGAGCCCAATGCAGAGCTTGATCCCAGGTCCCTGGGATCATGACCTGAGCTGAAGGCAGATACTTGACTGAGCCACCCAGGTGCCCCTCATTTGCTTTTCTATTTGAGTAGATAACATGTAAGTCCCATGGCCTGTTCACCAGCACACACTGAAGCCTCCTGTGTGCACATAACCTCCTCCACAGTCAAGAATCTATGGGTTTATGACAGCTTCTGTGCCCAGTTACCAACAATTACTGGCTCAGCTGATGTTAGCATGATGTCATGATGTCATCCATCTCAGCATAATGGATGGACGGATGGATAGGTGGATGGAGGAGTGGGTGGGTGGAGAGATGGGGGGGGGGGGGGGGGGGGGGGGGGATGGGAGGGAATGCATGAATCCCTAAGTAGCCAGCCACTTGTGCTCACAAAACATGAGTTTTTAAAAATAGTTTAGTGATATCAGAGGACAAAGTTAAGTAAACAAATGAAAATACTCTTGAAAATTTTAACTTAAAAAGATCAGTTTCCATCAGGTAGCTGCTAACTTTTCCAGGGCTGGGATGGAGAGGAAGAGGGTCTTTGGCAATCAACAGAGCAGCGCCATCCTTCCCAGCCATTCTGAAGAAGCCCAAGGCTCGGCCAGCCCCCCAACTACTGCTGCCCTGGTCCCCAACCTTGGCTCTCGGGTCAGAGCCATACTCATCCATCAGGGTGACAGCAGTCCCCTCTCTTTGCGTGGCCTTCATGCAGATTCCAATGTATGGGACAGCTGGTCACACATGTGACCTGCAGAGGCTGGTGTGCTAGTTCCAACAGGCACAGAGGAAACATGTATAGGGTCCCAGAACCCAGATTTGAACTCAGCCCCACAAGCTCAGGAGCTGACCCTCTTCCACAGCGCCTTGCCAGGCTCTACACTCTTCTAGGGGCCGCCCTGGCTCCATGCTCATCAAGCAACTTTCTGACAGCTCCTTCCGCCAATTGCTGGTGAGCAGGAGCCCGCATCCCAGTCTGCTGTGCCACCATCGATGACCCCAGCACCTGCCTGCCCCAGCCCTCTCCTCAAAACCCAGCATGTCCCAGCACACAGGCCCAGCGTGGCCTTCCCTCCCCCTCCATCACTGGGTTGCTTGCATCAAACAGGAGAAGTACATTTGCTTTAACCTGACAGATAGCCCTGCAAATTACTCAGCCAGGTCCCAGGGACCCCCAGTGGGCCTGGCGCCGGGCACAGGCCAGTCAGAGGGAGGGAGGAGCTGGTCTTCTCGGCGCATAGTGAGGAGGAATGGTGTGAGGACTTACCTGTACTTGTAAGCTTGCTTCTGGATTTTGACCATCAAGGGGGTCTCATTTTTTATAAACCATGGCTCTCCATCCTCAACAAACGGAGGGATATCATTAAGGAAGATCTGGGCATCTAATTCTTTGCGGAAAGAGGCGGTCATGGGCAGGTGGCTGTTGTCGGTCGAGTAGATGTACATTTCTGGAGGCAGGGTTAGGTCATCATTCAGAAGAAATCGCTTATAGTCATAGAAAAAGGGGTCATGCTCCTCAAGCAGGCCCCACTCCGTCTTCTCCTCGCCTGAGAGGCTGATTCTAGCAGGAGCGTGCGTGAGGAAGCCCGAGTACTCGGGGTAGTTGTGTATGGAGAAGCTGCCGGGGACCTCCGTGCAGAGCTTGATGAGCTGTCCCCGAAACCATAGCCCGATGTCCTGGCTGCCGTCGGGGTAGGTCTCAATGCCCGGCCCGAACCGCTGGTCTGCTTTGTACAGCCCCTGCAAGCCGGGTTCACCAGCGCCAAAGAGACAGCTCAGCGGGGCCGTCTGCTCTGCAACTGGTTTCTTCAAATCAAAAAACTCAACCATCCTAAGAAATGTATGCATTCATTCAACAAATATTTGTGGAGGCTTAGGGGCACCAGGCCCAGGGGCCAAAAGCAAATGTGTAAACACAGAACACGTTGGTGGAGAAAGGTGCTGTGGGCCAGGGGTAGTCAGGGGCAGCCTCACTGGGAAAGTGGGGATACCCCCCGGGGGTCTCCATGCAGAAGCATGTGGGGGATATCACGTGTGGGCTCATCTCAGGGAACCCCTTGCCACACCGGGGGGCCCAGCCCAGGCACCCCAGCAGCATGGGGGGCAGAGCTGCTGGGCACTGGGTCAGAGAGACACCAGAGGGCATGAACTGAGAAGGCAGGAGGAGGAGGGGGAGATGGGAGAGGAAGAAGGGGGCAGGAGGGGGAGGAGGGGAAAGCTAACCCTCCCTTTCAGCAAACCCAGCAGAGCACAGTGATTCCTGGACCTCCCTGGGTGCTCCCACTGGGCGGGATGTTGTCTGTGCTGAGTGGAGGATGTATGGAGCGGGAACGGCCAGGAGGGTCTTGAATGAAAGACAATGCCAACCCACCCCCAAGAAGGAAATTGGGAGAAGGGCTCCAGCACAGGGAGCTCAGAGAGAAGCCCCCCTTCCCAGGAGAGCTTCGTGCCCCCTGTGCTGGCACTTAAGGACAGCCGGAGGTCACTGGGAGGACCAAGGAAACAGCCTGGGCAAAGCTGCAGGGGCCTGACCCAGTGGGGGCATCTATGTCCCTTCCAGGATCTGTGTGCTCATCTGTGAAACAGACCAGGGCTGCTGTGTCAGAGCTCTCCGGCTGCAAGCCCCAGGGCTGGGCACATGGGATATAACGCTCTGTGACACATGGCCCTGCCCACAAGAGCTTGCAGTCTAGAACAGGCCAAAGAAATGAGAAAAGAATGAGCAAAATGCGTTGAGGATGATTTCATTGTGCAGGAGTTTCAGGGAAGGAGGAAGGCAGAGGACTTCTGGAAGAATCTTCGGGGCAGCCACAGGGCAGGAAGTGTCACCATAGTCTGTGAAAGTGGCCTGGGGGGGCAGTGCACATGCAACCTAGAAGCTCCCGGTCACTGAGGAAGCATGAGCCACAAGATGGATGGGCAGGGAAAGACTGGGGACAGGGCAAGGCAAGAGGCACAGGGAGGCAGGCAATTGGAAAAGCAGCTGCTGCAGATCTATGAGGAGTCCAGAGGCTCGTACCCCAAGAGCTGACCCAAGAGCTTCCCTTCTAGGAATCTATCAAAAGGAAATAATCCCAATGTCCTCTAAGCTATGGTCACACATACATTCATGATGGTTGCAGAGCAGCAAACCATAATAATACTAACAGCTATAATGCTAATAAAATATAATCCTAATAATGGTCATGTCTACAGGATGCAACATGACACAGGCTTAAAAATTTGTCTTTGATACACATTTATTTGCAATCAAACAATGCCCTTCTAGGAATGAATGTATCTGAAAGATCTCCCACAAAAGCACAGAATGATTAACAAGCGAGACCTTCACTGCTGGGCCCTTTGGCACAACAAAGACTGGAGAAAAGCTCCCATTTTGGTCAATCCTTCCCAACCAGCTATAAGGATACAAGATGCCCGGATGACAGGAAACGTCAGGCAACCATGGAAAGCATGCAGAGCACACGTCCCACCATCTAAGTGGGAGGACCTCGCCCGGGCCCGTGTGTGCAACATGCGAAAATAAAGCAGTAGAAACAATCACCAATGACAAGAGCGGACACCAGAGAGAAGAGAAGGGATGGATGCCCAGCTCCTCTGGGTGGACCCCATTTGCTGGGTTTGCCTTCAGAAAAAAATCAGGTTTTTTACATAAGTACAAAACAAGATTAAAGCAAGATTTTAAAAATCAGATCCTAAAAAATGAAAGCAAAACAAGTGAGTGCAGCTCTACATCCAGGTGTTGGATTAAATGAGCAGAGAGGAATTCTGTTCCATGACTGTGTTCCACATTCCTGAGGGGTCAGCTGCGGGGACAAAAGGAAGGCAAACGAGCATTGAGTTGCTTTCAGGAGTCATAGTGGGGGTCACAATGCTATGTTATTATTCTGAAACTGTCATACGTATTTTATGATGTAAAACAGGTAAGAAATGTTAATGGTTAGAAATGAAGATTTTTAAGACCGAGAGGAAAGATATGCAAATACAATACCGTGGCTCTTGAGTAAAAAACCAGGGGGAAAAGCCGGGGACTCCTCATAGCAAAATGTGAGAAAACCACCAAAGCCAGCTGGAGTTGTGTCAAGTGCAAGAGCCAAACTCCAGGGGCTCCCGCGGGCGGAAGAGCACCAACCGGGCCTCGAAGAGCTTAGCGACTGCGATGTACAAAGGGAAACCAGATCTGTTAAAATCCATGAGTTTGTAAAGACACGAAACCCCTTCCCTAAGCTCCATGGATCACCACTGAAGAACATTAGATGGTAATCACCTTACAACTCTGACAACCGGCAAAGAAAGGGAAATGGTCAGGGGTCATTTTGCTTTTCCCATTAAACTACCTCCAAGTAACCAAACAGCTGATGAAGGGTGTCATAAATCAAGGAATTCTGGTTAATAAAAGGAGGAATTGTAAATTTAGAATGTCGCCGTCTTGCAGCCTCTCATGAAATAATGGTCATTGATATTCACCAAAATCACGCAAAGGGAGGCGATGGGACTGCAGACCCCGTCCCCCACTGGCCAATCCTGACACTGCATGAAGACAACCAGACCTGTGTCCCGCATGGGGTTTCTGACAAAGACGCGAAGGCCAGCAGTGGAAAAGGGACAGTCTTCTCAACCGACGGCCCAGGAACAACTGGACACCAGCACGTGGGGGCAGGGGAAGGGAGGAGAACCAATCCCCGTGTCACGTGAAATGCAAAAGTTACCTCAAAATGGATCACAGACCTGAATGTCAGCACCCAGACCATAACATGGAGGCGAGAACACAGATGAAAAGTCTTGGTCACCTTGGGTTAAGCTATGATTCTATAACTAGGATATAAAAAAAAGCAAGAACTAGGAAAGAAAATTTGATAAGCCTATGAGTGGCTGAAATGAGAACAGCAGACGACACCAAGGATGGACAGAATGTGGAGCAAGGACAACGTTAGCATCTGATGGGCTGAAATGGAATGTGGCACAGCCACTTTTGAAAACCACTGGGGGATGTCCTGTAAAATGCGCTACACACCTAACACGTGGCTAGCAATCCCCGCCCAGGTATTTATGCAAATGCAAAAAACGACAGGCACATGAGGACTTGTAATCCAGTGTTCTTAGCAGCTTCATTCATAAGAACGAAAAACTGGAAAGAACTCAAGTGTGCGGCTCTCTGCGAAGCAATGAAGACTGTGTCATATGCACACCATGGAATACTGCTTCCTAGTAAAAGAAAGGAATTGCTGACATATGCAAATATGTCTGAATCTCAGGGTCATGGGGGGCTGGAGGGCGGGGCTACACGTGCGCACAAGACACCGTGCATAAATGTGTGTAGCAGGTTGATTCACAACTGCTCAAAGCTGGAAACTAGCCCAGAGCCCGTCGGCTGGGGGAACAACGGTGGCCGAGCCAGGCGCTGCCAGAGCGATCAGCGCTGGGGACTGAGTTTTGGACTCATGGCAACGCTGGTGGATCTCTGATGCCCTTTGCTAAGTGAAAGGTCTACGTACTGTATTTTGTTAACAGGACATTGTTGCAGAGGCAAGAGGACTGGCTGAGGGCCGGGCGGGAGGAGGGACTATCCCAAAGGGGCATGGGTCATGTCAGGGGATGGACGTTTCCTGTGTGTTGATGGCAGTCCTAGTCACAGGGCTCTACACCTGAGAAGGGGTAAACCAATGTGAATGGGTTTTCCTGGGAGGACATAAGAGGAGGAAAGGTATGTCATTGGCAAGTTTCAAGACGCCGTATGTGAGATGATCTGGTTTATGTATAAAAGCTAAACATTTATGGTGCATTTACAGTTGACTCTAAAGGACACACAGAGACTGATATCCAGCCCTGCTCTGGAAAACGGGATCTGGGAGAGGCCTGTCTTCTTGCTGGGTTCGTCTTCTTCTCATGAGCCCTATTATTGTATCTTATTCCTGGTATGTTTTAATCTTCACAAATAACAAAGCTACCACTTGGTACACAAATAAAATTCCCCAAAACCTAAATATCCTTTGATCCGGTGGCCTGGAGGACCCCAACCCTCCCCCACACAAAGGGTAGCCCTGCCCCTCCCCTGCACGCAGAGCAGCCTTGCCACCCCCTCCAATACAGGGCATCCCGACCCTCCCCTGCACAAAGCGCAGCCCGGCCCTCACCTGGAAGAGCCTGGTCTTCTGGAACATGGTGCCGTAGCCTTCTCGGTAGCTCAGGTAAAACATGCCGGTGAAACTGGAGCCGTCGGGCCACAGGTAGGTGCCCAGCCCATGGCGGTGGTCGCGATAACACTGCCCACGGTAAGTCTGTGGAGAGAGCCCGAGCTGGCGGGCCTGAGAAGCCACTACTTGCCACCCCCCAGGACCCTCCAGGAAGCCCTCCAGGCTGGCAGCAGAGCGGCCCCCGGGTGTGGTGCTAGCCACGCCAGCCACAGGTCCCCTCCAAGTCGGGGAGCACAGTGTCCATTATAGGTGGTCCCTTACCTGCGTAGAGCAGGTGCTCGGGGATGGGTGCCCTGGTGGCCACAGTCGCTCCTTCCCTCCCACCCTGGCCCAGGCCAGAGAATGTGCACAGCTGTGGCTGCAGCCAGGACAGGGTTTGGGTGGGAGCCGGCTGCACGCAGGAGCTCTGACCCAGGCTCAGCTCCATCCTCCTGGGCTCCTAGGCAGCAGGCTGGCCCAGGCAGCAGGGAGGCCACCAGCCTCAGAGTCCCCTGCGTCGCCCCAGGGACAGGCTATGAACCCTGGCTGGGAACCCTAGAGTGGCTTTGCTTTTAAAGGCCTCCATCCTGAGCCATGGGTGCAGGCCTCTATCTGCTCTGTGCCGAGCCCCACAGATGTCAGGGGCGGGTCTGTCCGAGCCTGCCCCTCTACAGGGGTCTTGGGAGGAAAAAAAGAATGTGATGCCCATTCTGAGCCCTTTCCAACCCCCAGACTGCTGCTGGTGCATGGCTGATAGCCTCTGTCCACAGCAGGAGTGGGCTGGGTCCAACAGTGCTCACAGACCACTCTGGAGGAATGAGGTGGCGACTGTTGCTGGCTTGCTGTCCCTTCTCTTTCCTCTGGTCATGGAGAGGACTACCCATGGGGTTGGTGGTAGACTGACCCCAGCCCCCAGGCACATGGTACCAAGCCTGGCCAGCCTGAGGACTCCTGCTCTTGACCCGAGCCCTGACTTGGGTTTGGCCACAGGACCCACACTCCAGCCAGACCAGCGCCCTGAATGGGCCTTTCCTCTCTCCCAGGAGTGTGTGATGCAGCTCCCGTGGGCTTGCCAGATGGTAGAGGGTCACTCTGGACCCTCCCACATGAAGATGGGGAGAAGGTGTCCCAACAGAGTCATTGGAATCCATGGATCCAGCCAAGCCTAGGGCAACATGACCCCCAGGGATGGACTTTTCAGTTCTAATAGCCAACAGAGGCCCTTTTTAGTCTCCCCGGGGTTGAATGTGAGCTCAGTAATGGTTCCTGGGGAGCCCATCCAGCCCAAGGACACTTGCTGAGTAGAGAGGCACAGGACTGGGGCTGTCCCTCTCCCACCAGCACCCATCTAATTTCCATGGTTTTGTGGGAGCAAATCAGAGTCCACCCAACTTAAAAAAAAAATCTTAACTTGCACACTTCTTTGTGTAGAACTGCAAGGGGCAAGCATTTAGCATTCTGGTCACTTGGGTGTGTGTGCACAGGGCGGGATTTCTCTCCACTCCCCGGGAGAAAGCCCCGGAGGGACCCTGAAAGTCTATAAGATTTCTCTCTAGACACTTCTCCAGTGAGAAAGAGGTTAGCCTAGCACCCTTCCTGCCAGTGGTCTGCAAGTTCACCTCACGTCCCTCTTAGAAGAGAAGAGACCAGGGGCGCCTGCGTGGCTCGGTCAGTTGAGCGTCTGACTCTTGTTCTCAGCTCAGGTCATGCTCTCAGGGTTGTGAGATCAACCCCATGTCTGGCTCTGCACTGAGCATGGAGTCTGCTTAAGATTCTCTCTCTCCCTTTGCCTCTCCACCCTGCTCCCTCTCTCCCTCTCTTAAAAAAGAAAGAAAGAAAGAAGAGGCAAGACAGCAGTGGCTGGCTGAGCCTGGCCAGGAGGGAAGCAGCAGTGGGAGCCAGTTACCTCGCCCGTGGGCCAAGAGAATTCACCATGCCCCAGCTTCATGTCCAGCCCGAAGTCCCCTCGGTACACACAGCCATCCTGCCACTCCTGCACTCCTTGGACCAGCTGGATGTAGGTCTCCTTCAGGTCCTGCTCCCTGGAGGGACCCTCAGACTCCTCCTCCTCCTCCGGGGCCTCTGGGATGTCTCTAGGGAGGTGAAGAGCAGGGGAGGGACACACTGACACAGGCCTGAGGAATGACGGTGCCGAGAACCCCAGGCCATCTCAGTTCTTCCTCCCAACAACCCCCCCGGGGCAGATGCTGTTGCTACCCTCATTCTGCGGAAAGGGAAACTGAGGTACGGGGGTGCAGTGATGGCCCCAGGTCACACAGGAAGTGCGCAACCCTGTGTCTGTCCCACATGCCTAAATGGCAGCCAGTTTCCTGGAGGCGCGCCCAGCTCTGCTACCGGGAGGCTGACAGCCACTCTGCTCCACCTGTTTGCGGGGCAATCCTTGTGCCCTCCACCAGCCCAGAGTGCTCCCGGCAGGGGCTTCTCTCAGGAGCCAGCAGTTGGTGCACAGCCGGGCAGGAGGTGGACACTGGCAGACTTGCATGGACCCGTGAATGGCCTAACGAAGGAGAGCAGCAGCAAGCTGACCCATAGGACAGACGGATGGCCGCAGGGATGGGGCCGAGAATGGGCACCAAGGTGAGGTTGCTTCTTTTTTGCTCTTGCTATCTAAAAGTACAAACCCTGACTTAAAAGAGGACCTACTCCTACCCCCCATCACACACACACGGTCTCCCTCTCTGCCTCCTTCTCAAGTCGAAAGGGCTCTCTGCAGATGCTGCATCTTGGTGTCTCTGGTCTACGGACCTCTGCCACTGTCAGGTGGACAGTCTAGGATGGGCCTGGGCCAGTGTGACTACTGTCCTTCAGCCAAGGGGAAGTGTGGACATAAAGAAGCACATGAAGAGAGGGTGGTATGTAGACACAAGGAGAAGACAGCCACTTACAAGCCAAGGAGAGTGGCCTGGAGCACAGTCTCCCTCTCACCCTCAACAGAAACCACCCTGCCCACACCTTGACCCTGGACTTGCAGCTTCCACACTGAAAGACAATAGGTTTCCTGTGTTCAGGCTGCTCAGCCTGTGGCAGCCTGTCGCAGCCCCAGCAAACTCCTACACCACTTCTCCTCCCACTTGGCTACCCTAGTTGCTTAATTCAACAAATAGGAACGAAAGGAAATGTTCCTTTAAAAAACAAATGGAGATATTTTAAGATCAATCAGGAACATCATTAACACAACCAGTCAGCTCCAAGGACTGCAACAGGGTCCCCAGAGATGGCCAGCTGGCAAGGTGAACAAGGGCTTGGCCACACAGTTCTGCCACCAGACTGGTCCCTTCCCCTCTTGTGACTCAGCAACTTGCCTCCTCTGCAAAAGGGGGGGTTCTGTCAGTCCGCTCAGACTATTGCAAAGCCCCACAGACTGGGGGCCTTGGACCGCACACATTTGTTTCTCAGTCTGGAGGGGGCCCTGAGGCTGGGGGTGCCTGCAGACTCCGTTCCTGATGAAGGCCAGCTTCCTAGTTCACAGACGGCACCTGCTCACTTGTGTCCTGGTGAGGCCAAGAGGGAAAGCTTTAGCTTCTTCCTCTTCTTATGAGGGCAGTAATCGTACCATGGGACCCCACGACCTCATCTAAATCTACTCCCTCCATCTCCAGCGCTGGGTGGGGGGCATGGAGGACAGCTGATCCGTGGGAGGGTGTGCTGGGCTTCTGGTGACAAATGCAAGTCACCATGACATTGGGGGTGAGGCCTTTAACATGGATTCTGGCGCTGGGGAAGAGCCAGGGAGACACAGTTCAGTCTGTACCAGGGACAAATACAATAGGATTACAGGGTGGGTTTCACAGGAGGCCAAGATAAGGCTCTGATGGCAGCGTCTGGCCCAAAGTAGACCTTCTCATGGTTATCATACTGTGAAGAAGCTGTGCCAACTTGGGAAGGCCACAGTATAAAGCCAATGTTCCTAAGGCCATGAGGAGGTGACACAGAAAGGCAGAGTGGGCGAGCTAGGAGGACTGTGCAGACATCAGGCAGGGGGCTCCTTACCAACTGTTGTAATTTTCCTCAGTGGTTGCTGATACAACGTTAAGGTTTTCGTATCTCTCCAGAGAGGAGTTTTCAGGAGCAAAATAACTTTTAGCGGTTTTTAACACCTGCCCCAATGCTGGATCCCAGCTAAGTGGTCCCCAGGGTCAGGCAGGAACCACCCCTTGGGATCCCCCACCCCACTCCACACCTTTTGGTAAAGAGCATCTCCATTGTCCTGGACCTCTCCAGGGTTCCCTGGTCCTGGATGGCAGCAGGCACGACGCCCCTCCCCACCGGCTGATTTTCATAGATGTTAAAATCTGGGATTTCGAAATAGAAGGCTGAGGAATAACTATTCTCCATGCCTCTCGTCTTCGAACCTGGAAGCAAAGCCATGGACCCACATTCGCCCTCAGGGCTCCTGGCGATGTCCAGGGACTGACCCACAGCCCCCATCCGCCTCAGAGAAACAAAGCCCCCTCCCCCTAACCTAGATACCCCATCCTATTGGGAACTCCCGGAGAAACCTTCGCCAGCGCCCCTAGGGAGTCCCGGTCCCTCCCGGGCGGCAGGAACCACATTAAGGGCGGGGAGCCACCCTCCCACGACCTCTTAGGGTCCTGTGTTGGGCTCAGTATTATGCCTGCTAATGGCCCCAGAGGGGCCACAAACAGCGGGCGCCCCCTCCCCCACGGGCCTCTGGAGCCAGCCCGCGAGGATGGGCCAAGTGCAGGGACGCGGCCCTCGCCGGACCTCACACTCACAGCCTCTCAAGCCCGCCGGGTCCCAAATAGCCTGCCTGCCCCGGGCCCGGGGGTCAGAGGGCCAGTCCCAGGGGACGTCTGGTGCCACGCACGGGCCTCCGCCGCCGCCGCCCACGAGCTCCGCGACACGGAGCTCCCCGCGCTCCCGCTGGGATCCCGACCGCGCACCCCTGCCGCGGGGCCGCACCGAGGCTCGCAGAGCTCGCACCCAGCGTTCCTGTCGGCCCAGAACCGTCAGCTCAGAGAAGCCCCGCGCTGCGCCCCGCAGCCCAGAGCGTCGGGTTTCCCTGGAGACCGCTTCTAGGCCTCCGCCAATCCCCGCGCCCGGCCCGCCCAGGCCCCGCCCAGGGGCGTCCCTCTGTGACCTCACAGGGCCCCGAGCGCGCTCCCCCGCCGAGCCCCCCACGCTCCGGCGCTTGCTGGGCTTCCTTCTGAGTCCCGCAAGCCGCGCGGCGAGCCCGCCGGCCAAGTCTCCACCGCGGACCCCGACGTCCACGTCCGGCAGAGCACGGGGAGCAAGCTGTGGGACAGGGCCTCCCGGGGGTTAGCGCTAAAAGCTCCAACGCCTCCGGGAACAGAGCACGGGGACTGTGCGTGTGGGACACCGGAGGAAACCGAGGCACAGGGAGATTCGCTTGCCCAGCGCCGCGTGCCCGCACGCCGCAGAGCCAAGGTCTGATGGAGCTCTGCCAGACTCCAAAGCCGATTTTCGTCGGTTCCGTGCAAGTCTGTAGCAGACACGGAGCGGGAGCTGTCCGCTGCTGCGACAGGGCGACCGAGGGGCTCCAGGTCACGGAGACAAGGATTCGCTGTGTGGACCGAGGCGTCACTGGAGAAGACTGCGGAGGGACGAATCCTGGATAGGGTCTCAGGCGGCGCGGGAGCTCTCCAGAGAGAGCGCAGTGCAGGGAATCGGGCTAGGAAGCGGAGGCGCAGCAGGGGGAAACAGCTCAAGGGCTTTCTGCCACTGAAGCCATTGGAGGCTTTGAGAAGGGTGGGGCTCTCTTCTGGCGCCGGGCCTGGAATCCTCCGCCCAGGCTGCAAGGGGAGAGGGATACGCAAAGCCCAAGCCCAGTCCTTTCCCAGTGGCTAGATTCTGTCTAGGATTCTGGGGTGCTTCCTCCAGCCCTCTACCTCCCAATTCACCTCTTCTTTCATACCCACCTTGGTTCCTGGATCCCCTCTCTATTTACCTCTTATCTTTCCCCCTGAGGTCCCATCTCTCTGCCACACTCCAATTGCGGGTTTGGGAATTTAAAGCACAAATTAGACTGTCTTTAAAATTCCTTTGGGGGGCACCTAGATGGCTCAGTGGGTTAGGTGTCTTTGATTCTTGATTTCTGCTCAGGTCAGGATCTCAGGATGGTAGAATCGAGAGTCCCCCCACATGGGGCTCTGTTCAGCGCAGAGCCTGCTTTTTCCTCTACTCCTCTCCCCATTTCCTGCTCTTTCTCTCTAAAATAAATAAAATCTTTTAAAAAAAATAAAATTCCTTTGCTATGGAAAGAGAAAGAGGGACGCCTGTGTGGCCCAGTCTGTTAAGCGGTCCTGGAATCAAGCCCCACTTCAGGCTCCCTGCTCAGTGGGAAGCCTGTTTCTCCCTCTCCCACTTCCCCTGATTGTGTTCCCTCTCTCGCTGTCTCTGTCAAATAAAATCTAAGAAAGAAAGGAAAGAAAGAAAGAAAGAAAGAAAGAAAGAAAGAAAGAAAGAAAGAAAGAAAGATGGTAAAGTCCTACAAACTTGGTAAACCATACCAATCTGTTGCAGGTTGAATGGCATCCCCCAAAACATTAAGCTTAAATCCTAAACCCTGGTACCTGTGAATGACCATATATGGAAACAGAGTATTTGCAAATAATCCAAGAGGTCATACTGGATTAGGATGTGTCTTGAAGTAAATGGCTAAGTGTCCTGAAGAGGGAAATTTAGAAAACCCAAACAAAAAGGGAAAAATAAACTTCTGTTGTTTTAAGCTACTGAGTTTGTGATGCTTTGTTACAAATGAATCAGAAAAAAAGTTTACTATTAGAATAAAGCAAAGTGCAATATCATTGTATACAGGGTTGCAAGACAGCTACTTTCACTGAAACCAATCCAGGAAAGACATCCAGGAATGACACGGGCCATCAGAAAAACCTGAATAAGTCTTCTTACTCATGTCAACATTAAATGATGTGGGTTTTTTTTTAATATATATTTTTTAAAGATTTTATTTATTTGACAGATCACAAGTAGGCAGAGAGGCAGGCAGAGAGAGAGGAGGAAGCAGGCTCCCCACCCAGCAGAGAGCCCGATGCGGGGCTCGATCCCAGGACCTTGAGATCACGACCTGAGCCAAAGGCAGAGGCCTTAACCCACTGAGCGACCCAGGCGCCCCTAAATGATGTGTGTGTTTTAATTTATTCGAGAGACCACGAACAAGCAGCAGGGGCAGTGGTGTCTGGCAGAGGGAGAGGGAGGAGACTCCTGGTTAAGCAGGAAATCAATTCGGTGCTCAGCTCCAGGACCTGGGACTCTAGGATCCTGACCTGAGCTGAAGGCAGACGACAAACCACTGAGCCACCCAGGAGCCCCTAAACGATGTTAGTTTTTAAAAGTTAGAGTGATGATCCAAAAATTAGGAAAAATTAAAACCCTTGTATTTGAAGAAATGATGAAAATTTAACAGCAAACAGTTTCATTTCATATGAACCGTGTTTTACAGTAAAAGGGAAAATAAAATGCATAAATTACAAAGGGCAATTAGGAAGCAGAGAAAAGGGAACAAACAAAGCTGTACTAAAAGGCACCTCGGCCGGCATTACAATTATTAGTTCCTAAGAAGAAGCGAAGCCAGGCAGCCTACCAACCAAACGATACGGAGGACAGGACCCCTGTGCTCCGCACGGTAGCTGGAAAAGAAGCCCACCTCCCCGAGCCCAGCCGGGGCCCTGCTGCCCGCCCCCCTCCACGGCCAGACCGCTCCAGGACAGGTGCCCACGTCTGTGAGCCACCCCCTATCCCCAACGCCCAACGCCCAACCCCGGGAGCAGAGTCAGGCATTGCAGCTCTAGAAGCCCAGCCCCGCAGGTCCGCCCCGGTTGCGGCCTGCCCAGCCCAGCAAGCCGGAGAGAACGCCGCGCTCCCGCGCGGGACTGCACCTCCCCGGCCTCCGCGTCCCCCAGGGACCGCCCATTCAACACCACGTTCCGGCCCCGCCCGCCACGCTGCAGCCAATCCCACTCGCCCACCCGCCCACGAACCCAGCCAATGGCCACCACCCCCAAACGCAGCCAATCAGAAGACGAGCCCGCCCTGCCCGGCCAATGCGGAGGCGGCCAGGGCCCTGCGGGTGGGACCCTCAAAGGCCTTTAGGACCCCGGGGGTGCCCCACGGGCCGCCCGAACGCCTAAACTCGTGCTGCGACTCGGGCGCGGGTCATGGACCCGGGACCAGCCGACCGCCGCGAGGTCCCCGGGGTGGCCTCGCCCGCGCCGCCGCCGTTCGTGTGCGTCGCCCCCTCGCTGTTCCTCGGGACTGCACGTGCCGCGGCCGCGCCGGAGCTGCTGGCGCGCGCGGGAGTCACCCTGTGCGTCAACGTTTCGCGCCAGCAGCCCGGCCCGTGCGCGCCCGGGGTGGTCGAGCTGCGCGTGCCCGTGTTCGACGACCCGGCCGAGGACCTGCTGGCTCATCTGGAGCCCACCTGCGCCGCCATGGAGGCCGCGGTGCGCGCCGGCGGCGCCTGCCTGGTCTACTGCAAGAACGGCCGCAGCCGCTCGGCCGCAGTCTGCACCGCTTACCTCATGCGGCACCGCGGCCTCAGCCTGGCGGGGGCCTCCCAGGTGGGGCGGACCGTCCAGGTGGGACGGGCCTTCCAGATGGGGCGGGCCTCGCAGGTGGGGCCGGCCGTCTAGGTGGGACCGGCCGTCTAGGTGGGACCGCCTCCCATATCGGGCTGGCCTCCCAGGTTGGTGGGGGGCCGTCCAGGTGGGGCCGGCCTGTCGGGGGTAGGGGCGCAGAGGACCTTGTGGCGCTGCGTTCAACCTCTGCCTCTCGTACCCAGGTGGTGAAGAGCGCCCGCCCAGTAGCCGAGCCCAATCCGGGTTTCTGGACTCAGCTGCAGAAGTACGAGGAGGCTCTGCAGTCCCTGCCCCGCCTGTCCATGGAGCCCTCGGGACCGTGCTCCGGAACGGGAGGAGATGAGCTCCAGAATGAGCCCTAGCCCTTCAGTCCTTGGAGAGGAGCCAGCCCCGAGTGCGGGGCGCATGGAATTAGAGGTAGTTGAAGCGCCGACCAGAGGGGGTCTTTGTCCTCCTTCCTGTGGCACAGAATTTTCATTTTCTGCTTCTTCCTGAAATGCAGCTCGAGCCCGTTTTACAGTACTGCGGGTTTGTGTCTCCTGAAGAGGGGACTGGAAGTGTCCCTTCCTCAGTCAGCAGGTTTACCAGACAGGGCTTCGGTCAAGAAAATCAAAACCACGTGAGGAAATTTAGGCAGAAAGGTATTTAATACACAGAGCAAGGCCAGGGAGCCAAGGTCAGAAGGTAGGAAAGTACAGGAGTCAGGGAGACCCCTTCCCTCTCCCTAGTCCTGGTTGCCTGTCACTCTGATGTGGGCAACTCCTGGGAGGACATCAGCTCTGCTGGCAAAGCCTGTGCCTGCCACCTGTTGGAGCCATAGGGCTTGCCCCAAATCTCACCTGGTCCCATCAGAATCCAGCATGGGACCCAGGCCTGGAAATGCTGCAACACAGGCCGGGATGTGAGGCTGCCTGGTGACAACCCAGCACCTGTGCCCGCTTCCGGCCGTACTGACCTCACAGCTTCCACAACAGCACCGAGCCCTGGCCTCATGTCACAGTTGCACTCACCACCTGTGCATCTGAGCCTGTGGCTTCAGACACATCTCACCTGCATCCTGGGGTCTACAGGCTGTCGTAGAAAAGTAATCACCATCGACACCCTTAATTAAATAAGATGGGGTGGAGGTAAACCGGGTTACAATGTGAATTACAGATAATACAGCCCCTGGTTAATATATGCCTCCCTATACACATCAAGGTAATTAATAAAATACCGTAATTAGTGTTTTTTGTTTCCCATCCCCACTACTCATGTTATGTTCTTCTCCTCAGCCTGCACCTCGCTGGTCCTGGTCTTTCCTGGTGAGGTGATTCAAGGCTCCATTCCAAAGGGCCCTGGGTGGCCCTGCCTGGGGCTATGGCTTCCCTCATGTCCTCA